ACTGTGTTGATGACTGTGTTGATGACTATGTTGATCACTGTGTTGATCACTGTGTTGATGACTGTGTTGATGACTATGTTGATCACTGTGTTGATCACTGTGTTGATGACTGTGTTGATGACTGTGTTGATGACTCAAGTTATTTACAGTGTCCAGTAAGTGTCGCACACCACCACCAGTAATCTTAATCACTGGGTTGTCACTCTTGAGTCAGTATAATGGTTCACTCAACACTGAGTCAGTATAATGGTTCACTCAACACTGAGTCAGTATAATGGTTCACTCACATCACACTGAGTCAGTATAATGGTTTCACTCAACACTGAGTCAGTATAATGGTTCACTCAACACTGAGTCAGTATAATGGTTCACTCAACACTGAGTCAGTATAATGGTTCACTCAACACTGAGTCAGTATAATGGTTCACTCAACACTGAGTCAGTATAATGGTTCACTCAGCACTGAGTCAGTATAATGGTTCACTCAACACTGAGTCAGTATAAATGGTTCACTCAACACTGAGTCAGTATAATGGTTTCACTCAACACTGAGTCAGTATAATGGTTCACTCAGCACTGAGTCAGTATAATGGTTCACTCAACACTGAGTCAGTATAATGGTTCACTCAACACTGGTCAGTATATGGTTCACTCAACACTGAGTCAGTATAATGGTTCACTCAACACTGAGTCAGTATAATGGTTCATTCAACACTGAGTCAGTATAATGGTTCATTCAACACTGAGTCAGTATAATGGTTCACTCAACACTGAGTCAGTATAATGGTTCATTCAACACTGAGTCAGTATAATGGTTCATTCAACACTGAGTCAGTATAATGGTTCACTCAACACTGAGTCACGTTGTCTTCACAATGTTTCGTTTATTTCTTCGTTGTCATAATTTAACGTTCCATTTTCGTTCAGCATAGAGATATTTTTGTCCTAGATTTAGCATTTTTTGTAGAACCATCTAATTGTTCTTGTATGATGGTATTATCTCTCTATCTGTCTGTCTGTCTGTCTCTCTCTCTCTCTCTCTCTCTCTCTCTCTCTCTCTCTCTCTCTCTCTCTCTCTCTCTCTCTCACACAAACCTGGCTTGATTGCTTGACACTTTTAATCAACTAAGATGAGGTATTTCAGTGTTGCAGAAGCTGACTCGTCTTCAGTAAGATGGTCCTGGGTGTATACACAGGTATTTATGGGTGGTAAAAGTCTCAATGAAGCGGCTTGTTGGTGCTTGAGAGAAGGGAGAGAGAGAGAGGAGAGAGAGAGAGAGAGAGAGAGAGAGAGAGAGAGAGAGAGAGAGAGAGAGAGAGAGGAGGGAGGTGAGATAGAGCAAGAGATTGAGAGAGGTAGAGAAAGAGAGTGAAAGAGAGAGAGAGAGGTAGAGAAGGGGCACTGTCTTGACTTCCTAGTAGTGATCACTTCAGAGAGCTGTGCTCAGGTAAGCTCCTTGTCCTATTATCGTGTCTCTCTCTTTTTTCCACTTCCCGAGTAACATCCCCACGTCAGTGATGTAGCTACATTAATTTTCCTTCAGTTACGTATCACAGCCTATCGTAACATTTGTACAGTGTCTGTATATTACATTATATCTTGACTACGACAACACTGTGTCCAGAGAGCATTTATCATCATGTATCCTCGCCAGCCTCTTCCCTAGTACAACATTTGCTCTCACTGGTCAGAAATCTAGATGCATTTCGGCCGCTGCGCGATCCTGGGAAAGAATTCCTGTGTTCCATAAGCCCAGCCACCTCTACCTCTGTCACTGGAACTGGAAGACTCGTTAGGCTTTCCTTCTGGAAAATTAAAACTGGAAGAAATATTAATAAAGAGATCTTAATTCGAGATAAAAAATCTCAGAAACTTTTATTAATTACATAAATTAGTAAAACTTGACCTGGATAAGATAAACAAAACATAGAGGCAAGAATAATATATAATACAACATGATAACGTGACTGGAACAATACACAAATAACGCGCACATGGGAGAAAGAGGCAGGGATAGCCCTATGACAAGCGCACGATGGACACTCTCAACTTGGGCTGCGGCCTGAATGTTCGGAACAACTTAGGACAGTCTCAGGAGATGTGTTGAACACTGATGTCTGACAGTGTTGAACACTGATGTCTGACAGTGTTGAACACTGACGTCTGACAGTGTTGAACACTGATGTCTGACAGTGTTGAACACTGATGTCTGACAGTGTTGAACACTGATGTCTGACAGTGTTGAACACTGATGTCTGACAGTGTTGAATACCTGATGTCGACAGTGTTGAACACTGACGTCTGACAGTGTTGAACACTGATGTCTGACTGTGTTGAACACTGACGTCTGACAGTGTTGAACACTGACGTCTGACAGTGTTGAACACTGATGTCTGACAGTGTTGAACACTGATGTCTGACAGTGTTGAACACTGATGTCTGACAGTGTTGAACACTGATGTCTGACTGTGTTGAACACTGACGTCTGACAGTGTTGAACACTGACGTCTGACTGTGTTGAACACTGACGTCTGACAGTGTTGAACACTGACGTCTGACAGTGTTGAACACTGATGTCTGACTGTGTTGAACACTGACGTCTGACTGTTGAACACTGACGTCTGACAGTGTTGAACACTGACGTCTGACAGTGTTGAACACCTGACGTCTGACAGTGTTGAACACTGACGTCTGACAGTGTTGAACACTGATGTCTGACAGTGTTGAACACTGATGTCTGACAGTGTTGAACACTGACGTCTGACAGTGTTGAACACTGACGTCTGACAGTGTTGAACACTGACGTCTGACAGTGTTGAACACTGATCGTCTGACAGTTGAACACTAGACGTCTGACAGTGTTTGAACACTGACGTCTGACAGTGTTGAACACCTGACGTCTGACAGTGTTGAACACTGACGTCTGACAGTGTTGAACACTGACGTCTGACAGTGTTGAACACTGACGTCTGACAGTGTTGAACACACTGAGTCTGACAGTGTTGAACACTGACGTCTGACAGTGTTGAACTCTGACGTCTGACAGTGTTGAACACCTGACGTCTGACAGTGTTGAAAACTTGACGTCTGACAGTGTTGAACACCTGACGTCTGACAGTGTTGAACACCTGACGTCTGACAGTGTTGAACACTGATGTCTGACAGTGTTGAACACTGATGTCTGACAGTGTTGAATACCTGACGTCTGACAGTGTTGAACACCTGACGTCTGACAGTGTTGAACACCTGACGTCTGAGTGTTGAAGACCTGACGTCTGACAGTGTTGAACACTGATGTCTGACAGTGTTGAACACTGATGTCTGACAGTGTTGAATACCTGACGTCTGACAGTGTTGAACACCTGACGTCTGAGTGTTGAAGACCTGACGTCTGACAGTGTTGAACACTGATGTCTGACAGTGTTGAACACTGATGTCTGACAGTGTTGAATACCTGACGTCTGACAGTGTTGAACACCTGACGTCTGACAGTGTTGAACACTGATGTCTGACAGTGTTGAACACTGATGTCTTACAGTGTTGAACACTGATGTCTGACAGTGTTGAACACTGATGTCTGACAGTGTTGAACACTGATGTCTGACAGTGTTGAACACTGATGTCTGACAGTGTTGAACACCTGACGTCTGAGTGTTGAACACCTAACGTCTGACAGTGTTGGACACTGATGTCTGACAGTGTTGAACACCTGACGTCTGACAGTGTTGAATACCTGGCGTCTGACAGTGTTGAACACCTGACGTCTGACAGTGTTGAACACCTGACGTCTGACAGAAGTGACCAACAGGTGAGTCAAAAACACCGAAGGAAAAGTGAAACAAAATAAATGAAACCCAAGATAATACCTAGAACAATAGTGACCTCATGAGACGGCGCCCCTGAGAGTCCCTCACAAGGCAGTAGTTACCTCATGAAACGGCGCCCCTGAGAGTCCCTCACAGGGAAGTCACATTCACTAGTCACACTATATTAAGTCATAATAAATCCCTTTTTCTTTCTTCCTTTAAAACCTCAGTATAACCAAAAGGAAGATGAAGAACAGTGCACAGTTGGGGATATTATTGATGAAACGTGTTCACCTACACAGTAGACACTTCAGTTAAATACATAGGCAGCAGTGAATGAAATAAAGATGTATGTAATCAGTCCATACACTACTCTTTGATGAAAATGTATTTGAGGTGGTCAGTCCCTCAGTTGAGAAGAGTTCAGCTTCATGACGTCTGGAACAAGGTGCATCCTCGTCTGACTGGAGAAGTAGTCGTCTTACATGGTTGAACTAAGGTGGTCAGTCCTCAGCCTGGAAGATGAGTTCAGACTCCTGGTCTGGAACAAGGTGTTCAGTACCTCAGTCCTGAAGAAGAGTCAGCTCCATGGTCTGGAACAAGGGAGTAGTAACACTCAGCCTAAGGAAGAATCAGCTCCATGGTCTGAACAAGGTGTTGACATGTCCTTAGCATGGAGAAGAGTTCAGTTCATGGTGACTCAACAAGGTGGTCAGTCCCTCAGCCTGAGGAAGAGTTCAAGTCAATGTGAACAAGGTGGTCAGCATAGCCTGGAGAAGAGTTCAGCTCCATGGGTCTGGACAAGGTGGTCATTCCCTCACCTGGAGAAGAGTCAGCTCCCATGGTCTGAACAAGGTGGTCAGTACTTCAGCTGAGAGAAGTTCAGCTCCATGGTCTGGACAGGTGGTCAGTTACCTCACCTGAGAAGAGTTCAGCTCCATGGTCCTGGAACAAGGTGGTCAGTACTTCAGCCATGGAGACGAGTTCCGCTCCATTGGGTCCTGAACAAGGTGGTCTCCTCAGTCGAAGAAGACGAATTCAGCTCCATGGCTGGAACAAGTGGTCAGTCCCCACCTGGAGAAGGAGTTCAGCCTCCATGGTCTGGAACAGTGGTCAGTCCCTCAGCATGGAGAAAAGTTCCATCACGAACGGTCCTGGAACAGATATATCTCGCCTTAACTATCACATATTAATCATATTCTGGTCTAATCCTAATGTTTCCTTTCTTTAAATTAATATGAACAAAGGAACTTACTCAAAACGTCGTTGGAATGAAATGACGCTGGAGCAGCTGAGTCAATGGTGATGACGTTAACGATGACTGAGTTGTCAATGGCGCTTATATCTTGGAAGTGTATGATGTTGTGGGCAGTGATGCAGGTGCTTGTGTCTGGGGTGGTGATGTCCTCCGTGGTGCAGGTGTAACAGCTGTGTGAACACTGGTACTGACAACTTCAAGTTCTGCACCTCGGCAGCCAACAGTATCCACAACACGTCATTCTGTAATGACAGTTGATTATTCTCCAGCGATCACTTCATGTTCCTCCTCCATCAGTTTTCTTCATGACTGTCTAGTTACCCCTTCCTCAAACATCACATTCAGCAGCGCATTAATAAAAGTCACTGGACAAAAATTATTGGGCATACGTCAATGGTGAACAAAAAAGCTTCGGTGGACAAAACGTCTCCTCAGTAAATACCATAAACAACATATAGTTTACAAGTTAAATATATATCGTACTTCCCTCACACACACTACACATTAAGTGAGAAGAACAAGACGAAAATAAGAGAAACAGATCCAATTACAGTAACCATGATGGAGATGAAAGTCCTGAGAAAGATAACAAAATGTAATATTCTCTGAAGGTTATTACTGAGAGAGAGAGAGAGAGAGAGAGAGAGAGAGAGAGAGAGAGAGAGAGAGAGAGAGAGAGAGAGAGAGAGAGAGAGAGAGAGAGAGAGAGAGAGAGGATAACTAAGGAGAGTCACTGCTGATTACAAATACTTGGTTTCGTAGAGATGAATACAGTGTGTAGTGGAGACTTCCGAGTCAGTGAAGGCAGGAAGAGGCAAGATAATAACAAAGGTAGACAACAGTCCTCCGCTGGACACAATGTAACAGAGACAAGACAATAAGGAGAAGACAACAATACAGATCTTGGAGGCTGAAACTACTACAGAGGATAACCCTTGTGATCATGGAAGGCTGTAATAACAATAATGTTTGCTGAGGTGACTGAGCCTCGTACAGAGGATCTCAAACATACAGAAAAATTGGTTTTTAAATTAGCAGCTTAAAGTAAACATAACGCGAGGCAATGTTTAACATTATAAACATACACTCAAAGCAAGTCACGGAATATAGATTTTTTAATTATAACAACTATTTTTGTATGAATTATTTACCAACGTGGTTATTAATCTTAACTAATTATTCTATTCACTTCAATAAAAATTATTAGATACAGTATAACTAGTCGACAAGGAATTTACATTAGTGAACTAACTATGTACGACACCATCACACTTGTGCTACCATGATGTTTCCAAACACTCTGGTACCAGTATTTTCTACGTAACACTTTACTATTTTCAATTATAAATATTTGTTGCACTGGTACAGGTCTACAGTAACTAGACAGAACAGCCTAAATAATTACTGTATATGTCACACACTGTGAGGTAAAATACTTACTACGATATCTTTATTGTTGCTGGTAAGTTCCTCAGGGATATTGTTGTGATGGTGGTTCCTGGTGGTGGTTGTGGTGGTGCTGGTGGTGGTTGTGGTGGTGCTGGTGGTGCTGGTGGTGGTGCTGGTGGTGCTGGTGGTGGTGCTCCCGGCTGCTACTGTGTCAACACTCCACACCCCACACCTACACCCTCCCACACTCTGTGTATAACAATACTACATAGATGTGTTTCGGTCGCTGCTCAGTCCGATGAATGTATCCCTGTATTCCACAACCCCAGTCCACTCTACTTCACCGCAATGGAAATACGTAAGTCACTCTGTCTGAGCTTATGGGGTTATCCCAGGTACTTTACACAGATGCTGCTATGTATGATAATCTATGTAACTGTATTTATGTATACCTGAATAAATGTACTTACATGCGATTAAAATAGTGCAGAGTGAGGCATTCATAAGTCATTATAAAAACTAATATACATTTTTTTCAGTAAAAATGGTAAATTGGTATATTACACAGCCCAAGTATCATTCACACCTTTCAAAGACACCAAAAAAATCAGTAACCTAATAAAGTTTACACAAGCTTAGTATACCTAACTTATAAATATTTAACAATGGTCTGGAGGGAAGAGAGTTGTCATGGTCACATTAACCTGAGTTAAGTAGCTCCTGAGTTTACCTCTCTCCTAATATGTTTGTTTTTACCCTATAATCTACCTTGTCTATAATTATTATCGTATTTACTTTGTCTGCTTTCGTAAGTGTGAAGTCCGGGATCTTTGGTTCATTTATGGTATAACTCTGCTCAGACGTGTGTGGTGTGGTGTATGTGTGTGTGGTGTGTGTTGTTGTGTGTTGTGTATGTGTGTGTGTGTGGTATTTTGTTGTGGGGTGTGTTGTGTGTGTGTGTCTGTGTGTGTGGTGTGTGTGTGTGTGTCTGTGTGTGTATGTGTGTGTGTATGTGTGTGTGTGTGTGTGTGTCTGTGTGTGTGTGTGTGTGTGTGTGGTGTGTATGTGTGTGTGTGTGTGTGTGTCTGTGTGTGTGTGTGTGTGTGTGTGTGTGTGTGTGTGTGTATGTGTGTGTGTATGTGTGTGTGTGTGTGTGTGTGTGTATGTGTGTGTGTGTGTGTGTGTCTGTGTGTGTGTGTGTGTGTGTGTGTACTCACCTATTTGTACTCACCTATTTGTGGTTGCAGGGGTCGAGTCCTAGCTCCTGGCCCGCCTCTTCACCGGTTGCTACTAGACCTCTCTCTCCCCGCTCCATGAGCTTTATCAAACCTCGTCTTAAAACTGTGTATGGTTCCTGCCTCCACTACGTCATTTTCTAGGCTATTCCACTGCCTTACAACTCTATGACTGAGAAATACTTCTACTATCTCTCTGACTCATTTGTGTCTTCAACTTCCAATTGTGGCCTCTTGTTTCTGTGTCCCCTCCCTGGAACATCCTGTCCTTGTCCACCTTGTCTATTCCACGCAGTATTTTATATGTCGTTATCATGTCTCCCCTGACCCTCCTGTCCTCCATGTCGTCAGGCCGATTTCCCTTAATCTTTCTTCATAGGACATTCCCCTTAGCTCTGGAACTAACCTTGTTGCAAACCTTGTACTTTCTCTAGTTTCTTGACGTGCTTTATCAAGTGCGGGTTCCAAACAGGTGCTGCATACTCCAGTATGGGCCTGACATACACGGTGTACAGTGTCTTGAATGATTCCTTACTAAGGTGTCGGAATGCTGTTCTCAGGTTTGCCAGGCGCCCATATGCTGCAGCAGTTATCTGATTGATGTGTGCTTCCGGAGACATGCTCGGTGTTATACTCACCCAAGATCTTTCTCCTTGAGTGAGGTTTGCAGTCTTTGGCCCCCTAGCCTATACTCTGTCTGTGGTCTTCTGTGCCCTTCCCCTATCTTCATGACTTTGCATTTGGCAGGCTTAAATTCGAGAAAGCCATTTGCTGGACCAGGTGTCCAGTCTGTCCAGGTCTCTTTGAAGTCCTGCCTGGTCCTCATCAGATTAATTCTCCTCATTAACTTCACATCATCTGCAAACAGGGACACTTCTGAGTCTAACCCTTCCATCATGTCGTTCACATTATACCAAAAATAGCACTGGTCCTAGGACCGACCCCTGTGGGACCCCGCTCGTCACAGGTGCCCACTGTGATACATCATTACGTACCATGACTCGTTGTTGCCTCCCTGTCAGGTTATTCTCTGATCCATTGCAGTGCCCTTCCTGTTATATGCGCCTGATGCTCTAGCTTCTGCACTAATCTCTTGTGAGAACTGTGTCAAAGGCCTTCTTGCAGTCCAAGAAGATGCAATCAACCCACCCCTCTCTCTCGTGTCTTACTTCTGTTATTTTATCATAAAACTCCAGAAGGTTTGTGACACAAGATTTGCCTTCCGTGAATCCGTGCTGGTTGCATTTATACTCTTGTTCCGTTCCAGGTGCTCCACCACTCTCCTCCTGATAATCTTCTCCATAATTTTGCATACTATACACGTCAATGACACAGGTCTATAGTTTAGTGCCTCTTTTCTGTCTCCTTTTTTAAAAATGGGAACTACATTTGCCGTCTTCCATACTTCAGGTAGTTGCCAGTTTCCAGGGACGTGTTGAAGATTGTGGTAAGTGGCACGCACAACATATCTGCTCCCTCTCTAAGGACCCACGGGGAGATGTCCGGTCCCATTGCCTTTGAGGTATCGATGTCCTTAGCAGTTTCTTCACCTCCTCCTCATCTGTATGTATGTCGTCCAACACTTTGTTGGTGTATTCCTTGCTGGTGTCCCCATCTGGTCTGTCCCCCCAGAGTCCTTCCTGTCTCTACTGTAAATACTTCCTTAAATCTTGTGTTGAGCTCCTCACATACCTCTTGATCGTTTTGTGAGTTCTCCACCTTCTTTCCTCAGCCTTATCACCTGGTCCTTGACTGTTGTCTTCCTCCTAATGTGGCTATACAGCAGTTTCGGGTCAGATTTGACTTTCGATGCTATGTCGTTTTCATACTGTCGCTGGGCCTCCCTATTTATCTGTGCATACTCGTTTCTGGCTCTTCTACTAATCTCCTTGTTTTCCTGGGTCCTATGCCTCCTGTACCTTTTCCATTCTCTGTTGCACTTAGTTTTTGCCTCCCTACACCTTCGGGTAAACCAAGGACTCGTTTTGGTCTTCCTATTATTTCTGTTTCCCTTGGGAACAAAACTTTCCTCTGCCTCCTTGCACTTTGTTGCCACATATTCCATCATCTCGTTTACTGATTTTCCTACCATTTCTCTGTCCCACTGAACCTCCTGCAGGAAGTTTCTTATACCTGTGTAGTCCCAATTTTATAGTTTGGCCTGTCCCCTTCAGTTCCTGTTACCTTCTCCACTTGTAACTCTACTATATAGTCAAAACTCAGAACCACGTGATCGCTAGCTCCAAGGGGCCTCTCGTAAGTGATGTCCTCAATGTCTGAACTGTGTGTGTGTGTGTGTGTGTGTGTGTGTGTACTCACCTATTTGTGGTTGCAGGGGTCGAGTCCTAGCGTGTGTGTGTATGTGTATTTTCCAGTATGTTCTATAGCTCGTCTTTGCTACTGAGATCAGGAATACAATAAATAATGTGAATACAAATTTTCCCAATAATGGTTGACTTATAGTTGTCTGTTGTGACTAATGTTACTTATCCATCCTGGTATGAACTTAATCAAGTTGTGTTTAATTTCTTACGAACACTTGTAAAGTGTTGTCATGCCAGCAGACTTTTTTTTCTTGCTGTGTAGTTGGGCTGTGTATTACAGTGCTGATTGTATGACCGCTCAACTTTGTGTTTCTGAGACTAATTTTTTTGAAAAGTCGAGATGAGAAACGATAATACACAGAAGAAAGAGGATAACACTTTTAATTCCCTCACATCGCGAGTCCCTCAGCTGAGTCACCTTGTGGTAAGTCCCTCACATCGCAAGTCCCTCAGCTGAGTCACCTTGTGGTAAGTCCCTCACATCGCAAGTCCCTCAGCTGAGTCACCTTGTGGTAAGTCTCTCACATCGCGAGTCCCTCAGCTGAGTCACCTTGTGGTAAGTCCCTCACATCGCAAGTCCCTCAGCTGAGTCACCTTGTGGTAAGTCTCTCACATCGCGAGTCCCTCAGCTGAGTCACCTTGTGGTAAGTCCCTCACATCGCAAGTCCCTCAGCTGAGTCACCTTGTGGTAAGTCCCTCACATCGCGAGTCCCTCAGCTGAGTCACCTTGTGGTAAGTCCCTCACATCGCAAGTCCCTCAGCTGAGTCACCTTGTGGTAAGGCCCTCACATCGCAAGTCCCTCAGCTGAGTCACCTTGTGGTAAGTCCCTCACATCGCAAGTCCCTCAGCTGAGGTCACCTTGGGGAAAGGGCCCTCACATCGCGAGTTCCTCAGCTGATCACCTTTGTGGTAAGTCCCTCACATCGCAAGTCCCTCAGCTGATCACCTTGTGGTAAGTCCCTCACTTTCGCAAGTCCCTCAGCTGAGTCACCTTGTGGTAAGGCCCTCACATCGCAAGTCCCTCAGCTGAGTCACCTTGTGGTAAGTCCCTCACATCGCAAGTCCCTCAGCTGAGTCACCTTGTGGTAAGTCCCTCACATCGCGAGTCCTCATGATTCACCTTGTGGAAAGGGCCCCTCACATCGCGAGTCCCTCAGCTGAGTCACCTTGTGGTAAGTCCCTCACATCGCGAGTCCCTCAGCTGAGTCACCTTGTGGTAAGGCCCTCACATCGCGAGTCCCTCAGCTGAGTCACCTTGTGGTAAGTCCCTCACATCGCGAGTCCCTCAGCTGAGTCACTTATGGTAAGTCCTGACTGTATCTACCAGCACATCATCAACCTAAGTCAATCATCCTGACACTGCCTCTTACCACCCACAAGATATATCTTCCCAGACCTGCGTTACAATCAAAGATATTCTTGTCACCATTGTAAGACAATAGTCAACGTTTACTGCAGACTCTTGAACCCGAGAAAGACACAAGACACAATCTTCATCTCTGACACTCGAGTACAACCTACCCAGGCAATTTTATGACTCTCTGACCGTGGGTTCTATCCCTCCTGTAGTATTAATATTGAGGAACATATGATGTAATGGATGGAGTGAAGGTGACACTGACATCAATTATTCACTACCCAAACCCGTCAAAACCTCACCAGGTTAGTAATGCATCAAAATATACAATATTTAATAATCAATATTTAATAATCCATTTTTTTTAATTAGTCGCTATATAAATAAGGACATTTATAATTGGTCAGACTCAAAAAAATTAATGTGTTTCACTGGGCTCTGGAAAAATAATTACTTTATTAATATTGATTATAAAACTGTTAATAATCGAGAGAAATTCGGCAGTAATTATTGACTATACACTGTCTCAGTATGTCACTGTACACACTGTCTCAGTATGTCACTGTACACACTGTCTCAGTATGTCACTGTACACACTGTCTCAGTATGTCACTGTACACACTGTCTCATTAAAATTTACTGTACAACTGTCTCAGTATGTCAATGTACACACTGTCTCAGTTGTCACTGTAAAACACTGTCCCCAGTTGTCACTGTACACACTGTTCAGTATGTCAGTACACACAGTCTCAGTATGTCATGTACACACTGTCTCAGTTGTTTTACTGTACAAACCTGTCTCAGTATGTCACTGTACACACCATCTTTAGTATGTCACTGTACACACTGTCTCAGTATGTCACTGTACACACTGTCTCAGTATGTCACTGTACACACCATCTCAGTATGTCACTGTACACACTGTCTCAGTATGTCACTGTACACACCATCTCAGTATGTCACTGTACACACCATCTCAGTATGTCACTGTACACCCCCATCTCAGTATGTCACTGTACACATGTTCTCAGTATGTCACTGTACACACTGTCTCAGTATGTCACTGTACACACCATCTCAGTATGTCACTGTACACACCATCTCAGTATGTCACTGTACACACCATCTCAGTATGTCACTGTACACACTGTCTCAGTATGTCACTGTACACACCATCTCAGTATGTCACTGTACACACCATCTCAGTATGTCACTGTACACACTGTCTCAGTATGTCACTGTACACACTGTCTCAGTATGTCACTGTACACAGTCTCAGTATGTCACTATACACACTGTCTCAGTATGTCACTGTACACACTGTCTCAGTATGTCACCGTACACACTGTCTCAGTATGTCACTGTACACACTGTCTCAGTATGTCAATGTACACACTGTCTCAGTATGTCACTGTACACACCATCTCAGTATGTCACTGTACACACTGTCTCAGTATGTCACTGTACACACCGTCTCAGTATGTCACTGTACACACTGTCTCAGTATGTCACTGTACACACTGTCTCAGTATGTCACTGTACACACTGTCTCAATATGTCACTGTACACACCATCTCAGTATGTCACTGTACACACCGTCTCAGTATGTCACTGTGCACACCATCTCAGTATGTCACTGTACACACTGTCTCAGTATGTCACTGTACACACATCTCAGTATCACTGTACAAAACTGTCTCAGTATGTCACGTACACACCCTCTCAGTATGTCACTGTACAACCATCTCAGTATGTCACTGTACACACCATCTCAGTAAAGTCCCCTGTACACCCATCTCAGTATGTCAAATGTACACACCGTCTCAGTATGTCACTGTACACACCGTCTCAGTATGTCACTGTACACACTGTCTCAGTACGTCACTGTACACACTGTCTCAGTATGTCACTGTACACACTGTCTCAGTAGTCAACTGTAACACACTGTCTCAGTACGTCCACTGTACCACACCGTCTCAGTATGTCCCCTGTACACACTGTCTCAGTATGTCACTGTACACACTGTCTCAGTATGTCACTGTACACACTGTCTCAGTATGTCACTGTACACACTGTCTCAGTACGTCACTGTACACACCGTCTCAGTATGTCACTGTACACACTGTCTTAGTACGTCACTGTACACACCGTGTCAGTATGTCACTGCACACACCGTCTCAGTACGTCACTGTACACACAGTCTCAGTACGTCACTGTACACACCGTCTCAGTACGTCACTGTACACACTGTCTCAGTACGTCACTGTACACACCGTCTCAGTACGTCACTGTACACACAGTCTCAGTACGTCACTGTACACACCGTCTCAGTACGTCACTGTACACAACGTCACAAGTCACTACTCATAAGAAAAATAAGGAAAACTGCAACAGGCCTACTGGCCTATGCGAGGCAGGTCCAATTCTCCCACCGGCTTCAGGAAGGAGCACTGCATCCGACCTAGTAGCACAAGCTAGTCAGGTCCAACTCACACCCACCCACACCCACTCATGTATTTATCCAACCTATTTTTAAAGCTACACGTCTTAGCCTCAATAACTGTACTCGGGAGTTTGTTCCACTCATCTACAACTTTTTTACCAAACCAGTGCTTTCCTATATCCTTCCTGAATCGGAATTTTTCCAACTTAAAGCCATTGCTGCAAGTCCTGTCTATTTTAGATATTTTTAGCATGCTATTTACATCCCCTTTATTAATTCCTATTTTCCATTTATACACTTCAATCATATCCCCCCTAATTCTACCCCTTTCTAGAGAGTGCAGATTCAGGGCCCACAGTCTGTCCTCATAGGGAAGATTTCTGATACATGGGATCATCTTTGTCATCCTCTTTTGTACGTTTTCCAGTGCATTTATATATATTCTGTAATACGGTGACCAAAACTGTGCAGCATAATTTAAATGAGGCCTTACCAAAGATATATAAAGTTGAAGAACAACCTGAGGACTTCTATTATTTATACTTCTTGATATGAAGCCAAGGATTCTGTTAGCTTTATTGCGAACACTTATGCACTGTTGTCTTGGTTTTAGATTACTGCTAACCAGAACTCCTAAATCCTTTTCGCAGTTCGTAATATAAGATCTACATTTTTTAGTTTATATGTGTCATGGTTATTTTCCTGTCCAACATTTAGAACTTTGCATTTGTCTATATTAAACTGCATCTGCCACTTCTCCGACCATTGCTTCAGTCTATTCAAATCATCCTGGAGTGCTCTAATGTCCTCATTAGAATGAATTGGACGGCCTATTTTGTGTCATCAGCAAATTTGCTTATGTCGCTATTTATTCCCTCATCTATGTCGTTTATATAGATTGTAAACAATAAGGAGCCCAACACTGACCCCTGCGGAACACCGCTAGTGGAGTGCCCCCATTCTGATTTCTCCCCATTTATGCAAACTATTTGCTGCCTATTTGTCACCCATGCCTCTACCCAGGAAAATATTTCTCCTCTTATTCCGTGTGCCTTAAGTTTCCTCAATATCCTCTGATATGGAAATCTATCGAAACCCTTACTGAAGTCCATATACACAATATCATATTCAGTACCATGATCTACCTCCTCAAATACCTAAGTGAAGTAAGTTAGTAAATTCGTAAGACAGGAACGCCCCTTTGTAAAACCGTGCTGAGATTCATTAATCTATTTATGCCTTTCGAGATGGCTAGGAATTGCTTCGGCAATTATTGATTCCATAAATTTTCCCTCTATGGAGGTAAGGCTTATTGGTCTATAGTTCGAAGCTAAGGACCTGTCACCTGCCTTGTAAATAGGTATTACATTTGCCATTTTCCATTTATCAGGCACTATGCCAGTTTGTAGTGATATATTGAAAAGATTAGCCAAATGTTTGCTAAGTTCCTCTTTACATTCTTTGAACACACCGTCACAATAAAAAGTCACTATACACATCGTCACAAGTCACTATACACACCGTCACAACAAACAAGTCACTGTACGCACCTTATAACAAACAAATCACTATACACACCGCACAACAATCAAGTCACTATACACACCGCCAGGAGCAGCAGCATCTGGGTGAGTGTCCAGCCATGCTTGGTGATGGTTCTTGGTTGAGAGTGACTGATATTAACTAGGTCAGCATAAGGAACCACAGTGTCTCTGAACGCTGTCAGCACCTCCTCCCGCACGTCAATACTCTCCTAGGGAAGTAACAGACTTAATAAGGTAATCTTCAACTACACAGAGGTGGCCCACGTATACAATATGGGCCACATTCTTCCACTCTGTTGATGAAGCATTTCGAGATTTCTTCATTGTGATGGATAAGACACGTGAGCCACACTTTGGTACCTTTATTTCCAAAACGATTAGCCTACATTGTAGGCTTCTACGGTCGAATACAGAGGTGGCTCAAATTGGAGAGAGGAAAAGGAATGATGTGGTAAAGATGTAAACAATCCATCAGCCTGAGGTAGCAGTTTTGAGGTGGTCAGTCTTAACTAAGTCGTTTAGATCCATAGTCAGTCCCTCAGCCTTGAGAAACTGGAGGTTTCTCAAGGTTGATGGACTGACCACATCATCTTGACCAATCCATGGCCTCTGCTGTCTCCAGTTTTAGTTGCTTCTGTATCTGACTTTAGAGTGAAGTCTACAGTGTAGGTGAAACTTTTCCAAAATAAAGATACCAAAGTGTTACACACGTGTTTTATTCATTTATTTGTCAATACTGTACACCATTATTCTAGTGGAAGTTCCTCACTGTGTTTTGGAAACTCTCGAGTATTTTCTATCTCTCAGTTGCCTAATTTCGAAAAAAAAGGCACAAGCATAAAGCCCGTGAAGATAATTCTTTTTCTACGAATGTATAGATTTATTTATTTGATCTCATTTGACCTTAAAAATTATTAAAACTATAATCCTTGGTGGTTCTTCAACCACTGAGCGACTTACCTTGGTGAGTCATGAACCACCGAACGACTATCCTTAGTGAGTCGTGAATGTGAACCCTTGAATGACCAAACTTCGTGGGTCGTGAACCACTGAACGACCAACCCTGGTGAGTCGTGAATCCTTAACTCCCCTAACCTCAAAACTCGACATAATATAGATGGGCCCCGATATACAGCGCTTCGCTTTGCAGCATTTCGCTAATACAGCAGTTTTCAATTACACCCATTCTTCATTTATTCAGACTTCCTACAATAAATATATTCACTAATCACCATAAGCTAGGTCGTAAATATTTTAAGGTAATTAATGTGTTAAGTGTATATGTAGTCTTTAAGCCTAGCTCTATTGTTTACTTAATACATATATGATAGTGTGAGCATATTATCAGACTTGTATTTACATTTGAAAGTGAAAAAAGTCTGTCTCACTTTACAGCAGTAACCTGCAACCTAACCTGCTGTATAAACAGGTTAGGTTCCGGGCTACTGCTGTAAAGGCGTCCTGCCGTCATTAACCAATTTTAACACTGAGTTAAGATAAGAAGTCGGTCTTACGTTGAGAGGTGCCATGAGGGCCAGTAGTAGGGGGAGCGTTGTGGTGTAGAGACAGTGCCAGGCTGCCGTGAGTGCCCGCAGTCTGTCACCGTCCCGGGGACTGGCTACCCGCACTGAAAACATGCGGGTGCCACTTGGCACTACCTGGTTCCTCCACATGTTCACAACTCCGTCTACACCACCACTCATCACCACACCTGTCACCTGGGGTAGACAAACATATGGTTACACATACGTGTAAACCAGATGTTTACACTCACCAGGAATATAATAATAATAATAATAATAATAATAATAATAATATTATTATTATTATTATTATTATTATTATTATTATTATTATTATTATTATTATATTATTATTATTATATTATATTATTATTATAATTATTATAATTATATGCATAACCTTCTTCATGTATTTGACAAAATAACGTTACTCTCATGTGGTTTAAATTCTCTCTCACCTTCTCATGGAACCAGAGGAGTCCCTCAGGAGGGAAGGTGTTAGTACGGAACACATGCAGCAGTGCAGTGGTCACCTGTGCCAGGTCTCCACTGTATGAGGGTGCCATGTATAAGTGGGTCCCTGCCTCCTTGGATCCCGAGGTGGACCTCAGGAGGGTCAGGGGCCACTGCAGCAGCCTCTTAAGGGATCCTCCACGCTTGGGGCCACCACGCTCACTGCTGCTGCTGACAGTAATGCTCATTTTAGTTCTAATCATCAGTAGTTGTTGACTATGCTCCGCCATAGCCATCCTGTGGGAGATCAGTCGAAAGATATCAGAGGCAGAAGAACGAGAACGAGAAAGAAAAGAAAGTTAATAGGTAAAATAAAAAGGAACAATGTTTTAATGGGTCGAGAAACTGGTCCCAAACACTGCGCCATTGTCTGCCTCTTCACCTGCGTCAAGCAAGAGATTTTTTTTTCCTATTTTTTCGTGTCTTGTGTAATGATCAAGAACACCGCGTGAATCTATTAAAGAATCTGTAAGGAGAAGATAGGTGGTCAGTCCCAAAGTAATCAGTCCATCGTCAGTCAATACCTCGAAACTACGTCTTGAAGGGTGATGGACCGATGACACATTGTTCCAGACTATGGAACAAATACTCTTCTCCAGGCTGAGGGACTGACCACCTCAAAACTACCTCTTCAAGGGTGATGGACTGATTACATCGTCTTCACATCTCTATCTGCGCTGTATGACCCATGTAGGGTTAGCGCTTCATTTTTTATTATAATAATTCACATCTCTACTGCTTCTACCAACTTCTCTATACTCGACTGAAGAAGCCTACTGTGTAGGCGAAACGTTTAGGAATAAAGATACTTAACTGTTGCACATGACTTACCAAAGAATCTCTGTGTGTGTGTATCTTATAATTTGTGTATTGTATAAACTCAGAAATGTAATGACTGCGTAATACCAAAATATTACCCCGCCTCTGACAACCCATTGAACAACTGAACGTAAAAGTTACCTTTGAAAATAAAATCTTCGTAACTCGGTAATTTATTAAACATTATTTTATGAGTACTTTGGTGGTTGTCTTCCCTGTGTTATGTAAACACTGCGTAATGATCTGAAACACTCAGGAAGTCAAAGAAGCAGTAGAGGCAGGTTTCTTACATAGTTTTAAGAAGAGGTATTACAAGGTCCCCCGAGACTTTGGGGGAATAAGCTCGGCAAGCTAGGGGACAGGATCCCAACCCCTGCACCCACAAATAGGTGGGTATGGTACTGCAACTGTGCACTCTTGTGTTTACCTGGGGCACTGTGAACATTACAATAGTATCCTCTACAATACTCTCCAACAATAATATGTATCTGGGTAACTATAAATATTACTATAGTGTACACAACACTCCAATATTGTCATGCACAGTTGCGGAAAAAAGTTCCAGTACAGTCTCTCCTGGGCAGAAATAATATCAGGCAATCCAGACGTAGTAAACAGAGTAAAGGCTATTTTTATGAATGAATTAAAGCAGCATGTAACGACGATGGTGACTGCCTGAGAAAATTAATTGCCGGTACTTTCTGTATATATATATATATATATTATATATATATAATATTATATATATATATATTATATATATATATATATATATATAATATAGTCGTGCCGAACAGGTAGAACTTACGATCTTGGCTTAAATAGCAACGCTCATCTTGCCATATAGGACAAGTGAAAATTTGTTTATGCAATAATTTCGCCAAAATCATTCTGAACCTAACGAAAAAAAATATATTTCACTGCATTGGTTTAGTATTAAATTATTGTAAACAAATCTAAAATATATTTAGTTAGGTTAGGCTAAAATAAATTGTTCTTGTTATAATAAGGTTAGGTAAGTTTTCTAAGATTCCTTTGGTGCAAAATTAAAAATTTTTACATTATCATTAATGAAAAAAAAATATATCTTTAAACGTATAAGAGAAAATTTTAGAAAGGACTTTATTTTAAATTAGATTAGATTTTGCCACCGAAGTGGCTAGTTTATTGTGCACCCCATATCCATCCTGTGGACGGTAGCGCGAGAGCATATGGATACACAAAAGGCCTAGGAACTAGGCCCCAAAGGGTTAACAGGAATACATATGGATTTATATCTACATATCTATAGTTCACTTATCTGTTACAAGCAAATTTAGGAAATTTGCTTAGTATATCTGGTATCTTATTTTCATTAATAAGATATCTTGACATGTCAAATAGGTTATTATACTGTCTGTCTCTGTATTCTTCAATAAGTGGACAATTAAGCACATAGTGTTCAAGACAGTGACCATAGGCCTGACCACATAATTTACATTTAGTTTGATCATCATCTGTGTGTCTCACAAACTGCCAGAAGTACTTGTAACCAAGCCTAAGTCTGGCCACTACAACATCAGTCAGTCTGTTCACATTGCAAGTTGCTCCATAAACATACTTATCTACGTTCATGTTGTCATAGTGGGTTATAGATCTACTCAGGCTTCTAACTGCATTCATATAACGTTCATTTTCGTTATTTACTTCTCTCCTAATATTATTCCTAATGCTAGACACAGATATACCAAAGTTATATTCTACATTCTCCTTCTGGGTACTCTTCTTGGCTAACATATCAACTTTATCATGAAGGAGTAATCCAATGTGTGATGGGATCCATAGCAATTGCACATTAATTCCTTTGTCCCGGATTTTTGAGTATCTGTACCTGGCTTCTCCAATGAGCATGTTGTTGGAGTCATTATATGAGTCAAGAGCCTTCAATGATGACATAGAATCAGTAATGATGATAGAGTCAAGCTCAGTGTCACAGGTTAGCTTTAGCGCCATTAGGATTGCAAACAATTCAGTTTGCAGTGAGTTCTTGCTAATCGACCAATTTCACATATTCGGCACGACATATATATATATACATTATATATATATATATATATATATATATATATATATATATATATATATATATATATATATATATATATATATATATATATATATATATATATATATATGCAAAACAACCACTGTGAAAGAATAGAGAAATTCCAAGCGTTCCTTGATAATGTGAGTAATCACGAAAGCGCTTGGAATTTCTCTATTCTTTCACAGTGGTTGTTTTGCATATTCTGAAATCACCTGTTTACTGTGATCTTATTGCATTATATATATATATATATATATATATATATATATATATATATATATATATATATATATATATATATATATATATATATAAACACTGATCTCTGGCTGAAGGAGACTCGAACCTACGAGCCTTGGAACAAGGTACGCAGTGCTTTTACCAATCTTCCCACACTGGACCAATACCTTGGAGTCCAGCTTGCGCTAGACTTTGATCCAAGGCAGCCAGCTTTCAGGAAGAAGGCTTACAGCTTTTCATCTCATCCCCTGCATGCATCAGCCTTACTAGAGATATTAACAATCCAAGGAATTCGCAAGAGCAGGCGAAATATACACAAACACTGAGTCTCCTTCAGCGAGAGATCAGTGTTTGTGTATATTTCGCCTGCTCTTGCGAATTCCTTGTATATATATATATATATATATATATATATATATATATATATATATATATATATATATATATATATATATATATATTATATATATATATATATATATATATATATATATATATATATAATGTATATATATGGATTTAGAAAAGGCATATGATAGAGTGAATAAGGGAGCAATGTGGCAGATGTTGCAAGTATATGAGGATAGTGAGGCTCAGGTTAGGATGTGTAGAAGAGAGGGAGACTACTTCCCGGTAATATATTTATGGTTAATATATTTATAGATGGGGTTGTAAAAGAAGTAAATGCTAGGGTGTTTGGGAGAGGGGTGGGATTAAATTATGGGGAATCAAATACAAAATGGGAATTGACACAGTTGCTTTTCGCTGATGATACTGTGCAATTGAAAGTGAACATAGAAAAGAGTAAGGTGATGAGGGTATCAAATGATTTAGATAAAGAAAAATTGGATATCATATTAAGGAGGAGTATGGAAGAAGTGAATGTTTTCAGATACTTGGGAGTTGACGTGTCGGCGGATGGATTTATGAAGGATGAGGTTAATTATAGAATTGATGAGGGAAAAAAGGTGAGTGGTGCATTGAGGTATATGTGGAGACAAAAAACGTTATCTATTAAAGTATAGTAATACCAACACTCTTATATGGGTGTGAAGCTTGGGTTGTAAATGCAGCACCAAGGAGGCGGTTGGAGGCAGTAGAGATGTCCTGTCTAAGGGCAATGTGTGCTGTAAATATTATGCAGAAAATTCGTAGTGTGGAAATTAGGAGAAGGTGTGGCGTTAATAAAAGTATTAGTCAGAGGGCAGAAGAGGGGTTGTTGAGGTGGTTTGGTCATTTAGAGAGAATGGATCAAAGTAGAATGACATGGAAAGCATATAAATCTGTAGGGGAAGGAAGGCGGGGTAGGGGTCGTCCTCGAAAACTTTGGATTATTATTATTATTATAATCAAGGGGGAAGCGCTAAACCCGGAGGATTATACAGCGCCTGGGGGGGGGGGATGTGGAAGGCATTCAGGCTTAATTCGGGGAACTGGAGCACAGATCCAATTCCCTAAATCAAGAGCCCCTCACCAACATCAAGGAGCCTTCCTTGAGGGGAAAAACTTTGGAAGGAACGGGTAAGGGAGGTTTTGTGGGCGAGGGGCTTGGACTTCCAGCAGGCGTGCATGAGCGTGTTAGATAGGAGTGAATGGAGACGAATGGTATTTGGGACCTGACGATCTGTTGGAGTGTGAGCAGGGTAATATTTAGTGAAGGGATTCAGGGAAACCAGTTATTTTCATATAGTCGGACTTGAGTCCTGGAAATGGGAAGTACAATGCCTGCACTTTAAAGGAGGGGTTTTGGATATTGGCAGTTTGGAAGGATATGTTGTGTATCTTTATACGTATATGCTTCTAAACTGCTGTTTTCTGAGCACCTCTGCAAAAACAGTGATTATGTGTGAGTGAGGTGAAAGTGTTGAATGATCATGAAAGTATTTTCTTTTTGGGGATATTCTTTCTTTTTGGGTCATCCTGCCTCGGTGGGAGACGGCCGACTTGTTAAAAAAATGGATAGATATATTTATGAATGCAGTGAGATAGCGAAGTCCCAACATGACTAAGTGTTTAGTGAGCCGTTAATCAGACTAAGGGTCAACAATGTAAATTAATTGTTTGTGAGCGAGACTCAAAATTTGGTCATCAAGAACTGCAAGAAACCTCTTTCACGTCCATTAAATATTTTACAGAGAGGGAGCATAGACCGGGTCATCCCACAGTAATAATATAATATCTTTATTTACTACAAGTACATGTACAAGGTATACAATCCTAGCTGACATCAATGACATACTACTATATAGAAAGTCGCTTGTTATGCTGAGCATTTCGGGGAAATTATGTCAGTTTTGTCCCAGGATGCGACCCACACCAGTCGACTAACACCCAGGCACCCATTGTATACTGATAGGTGAACAGGGACAGGGACAGCAAGTGTCTTATGGAAACACACCCCTAATGTTTTCCAGCCGAACCGGAGGATATTCGAACCCCGGACCTCAGTGTGTGAACTGAGTGCGCCAGCGATCGAGCTCCGGGTCACTATCAAGCCTCCTTCCTGGTACTTCTGTTGTAAATTTATCCAGGCTGAGGGACTATCATCTCAGATAATTATATTTCCACCATTATTCTCTCTATTACATTGATAAAGCCCCTGGCTGGCGAAACGTCTCCACAATATATCCAAGTGTTGCACATGTGTCCTGTTCATCCATTTATTGGTTATGTATACCATGTATGTGTTGGTTATGTATACCATGTATATGTTGGTTATGTATACCGTATATATCCTCCTCCAAGCCTGGGTACACCTCCATTGTCTGAGTTCTTTAACCGTCTGGGTCAGCTCTTAATTCACTTGTTTTCCTTCTACTCTTCCCTTAATTAATAAGATGTTCCTTTTCCTTCCTCTAAAACAGCTAACGACGACCTGACCTCACACTCGGTCGGCGCTACAAAATCAAGATGGATCAGAGCAACTAGTAAACAATAGATGACCCTCACAGCAGGCCAGAACTGTGTGTTGTGGTGCTCCTCGGTAAGTTTATGGCATGTAAACATGGCTAATAAGGTGCAGATATTGGCTTTCAACATTGCACTGTTGCCCTCTCATTGCCCTTCTGTTGCCTTCTCGCCCCCCCCCCCGCCCGTTGCCTTCTCTTACCCTCCCCCCTTGTTGCCTTCTCGTTACTTTTTACCCTCCCGGGTTCGCCCGGGTAAAATAATCGGACACGATCCAATGGAAGGGGGAGGAGCGCTCCGGTTCATAGGATCAAGATACCACTGCACTCACCTTGACGTAGAATCTTTAGAGGATGACCATCGCCTGGAGGAGAGAACCCCTGACAGTTCCTTCTCCTCTTCCTCCTCCTCCTTCCCAGCAGCTCCAGACGGTGTCACGAAGCTCCCGTAGGTGCTCTCTTGTGGCAGGACCTTGGAGGACGAGGACGCTGAGGACGAGGAGGAGGACGAGGAGGATGAGGCCACGGAGAACCACTCGTCACTGTCACAGGTGTCACTGCCGCCGCTGCTGCTGCTGCTGCTGGTCGCCCGGGGACGCAGGCAGAAGGTCATGTTGCTCGCTGCACTTGCGAAGGGATTAATGCAAACACCGTCACAGCTAAAGGAAAGTAGCACTGTCAGTAGCTACCGGCAACAATGGCAGTAGGAACAACAGTACCGGCAACGGCAATAGCACCAACATTAACAGTATTACAGAGGCAGCGAGCACCACCAGAGGAATTAACCCCAGTTGTGGTTGTTGTGGAGGTAGTGGTGGTGGTAGTGGTGATAGTGATCATTACAAAGATAGTGGTTGGCTGATAAAGTACTGATAAGAAGGCAGTGAGAAAGTGATTATCTTGTAGACGTTGTTTTAGTTTAATATATTTATTATGCAACCCATACCCGTCCTGTGGGTGGTAGTTAAAAGATTACAGTAGAGGTTTGAAGTGTTGTAAGCCAGGACGGGAAGGGTGGCACAGACAGGGAACGGAGACTCAACACGCGAATTACGGAGCTGCAATACTAACGACAATAACACAAGTCACAGAACAATCTTTTATTTTGATGAGGGGACAGCTCTGTATAGATTATTATTATTATAATCATGGGGGAGCGCTAAACCCGTAGGATTATACAGCGCCTGTGGGGGGTGGGGACTAAAGCTATTCAGGCTTAATTCAGGGAACCGGAACACAGATCCAGTTCCCTAGATCAAGAGCCCCTCACCAGCGTCAAGGAACTTCCCTTGTGATAGACAGGAACCTCCCTGAAATAGAAAGAGATGTACCGTGTCCTTTGCGGTTGACACCCGAATTTGCATGACGGTATCATCTATCGAAGACACTGCAAGTCTTCGAGTGGACATCAACCAAATCTTTAAATGGGCCGCAGAAAACAATATAAATTTCAGTGAAGACAAATTTATTTACTCCGCTATGGAAAACTCGAGGAAATTAAAACTGTATCAGAGTATAAAACAAATTCCATCCACACAATAGAGAGAAAAACTAATGTGAAGGACCTGGGAGTGATAATGTCAGAGAATCTCACTTTCAAAGATCACAACAATGTATCTACCACATCTGCTAGGAAAATGATAGGATGGATAATAAGAACCATCAAAACCAGGGATGCTAAGCCCATGATGATTCTCTTCAAATTACCTGTTCTTTCTAGGCTGGAATACTGTTGTAGACTAACGGCCTCTCTCAAGGCAGGCAAGACTGCAAACCTGGAGAATATACAGAGAATTTTCACAGCACGTATAAGTATGATAAAGCAGCTAAATTACTGGAAACGGTTGAACGAAAGCGAGAAAGTTACATAATAATATACACTTGGAAAATTTTAGAGGGACTAGTTCCAAATCTTCACACGAAAATCGCTCCCTACCAAAGCAAAAGACTTGGGAAGAGATGCAACATCCCCCAATGAAAAGCAGGGGCGCCACGAGTACGTTAAGAGACAACACATTAAGTGTTAGGAGCGCTCAAGACTATTCAGCTGACTCCCAGCACACATAAGGGAGATTATCAGTAGACCCCCTGGCTGTCTTCAAGAAGGCGCTGGACAGGCATCTAAAGTCAGTACCTGATCAGTCGGGCTGTGGCTCGTACATCGATCAACGTGCGCCAGCAGTATTATTATTATTATAATCAAAAAGAAGCGCTAAGCCACAAGGGCTATACAGCGCGCCAGTACCACAGTAATAGCCTGGTTGATCAGGCCCTGATCCACCAGAAGGCCTAGTCACGGACCGGACCGCGAGGGCGTTGACCCCGAAACCCCCTCCAGGTATACACACACACATCAGTATCATCTAAGACCAAATTAATGCGTTTCGCTCCATGTAGAGTCAAGTGTATCATATGGTGAACTATGACAAAATCAAGATCAAGAGAGTTTAGGTAAGACCCCTTTGTGGGGTGAGCTGCCTGGAAGACGGGACAGGCGAGGAATAGCATTGGAGAGAAGTGTCCACAGTTTTAGAGAAAGTTCCAGGGCTTAACCCAGCAGCTAGGCGCTCGTGAGACAGAATGGAGAAACAGGAGGAGCAGGCTCTGTTGCATCGGTCTTGTGGTAGTTGGAGGTCTTCAGTCTTGAGAAGCTGGCAGCAGGTTAGGTCGCAGGAACAACAGAGGGCAGCTCACTGGTGGTGTTATTTGACGTGAGAGCCATTTTCAATGTTTTTTGAAGCTGCTTCTAGAAATGTGGTGAAGTTTAGTCTTGTTTCCAAAGGTGAAACATAGACGTTTGAGGAATTCCAGAACTTGGGTAAGATTGAAGAGGTGGCTCGTAGGTAAACTTGACAGTTCCAGCATGAAGACCTTTGTAGAGCTCGGTGCAAGTCATGGTGTCAGCGTCAGATGGAGAAGCGTAGAAGGTAAAGTTTTCCCATGAGGGTGTACTGGAGTCATCAATAAATTCTTCTTCTTCTTCGGAAGTGGATTCGGTGAGTGAGTCTACAGTTGTACTGGCAGGTGACGGTCGGCAGGAACAGTGGAGAGGTGTACACCGACTCCCAACAGGTTGGGAGTCGGTGGTTGAGGCAGAATAAACAATGTTGTTGGCGGTGGAGGTGGTTGTAGAAGATTCAGGAACAATTGCTTGGTAAGAAGGAGACAGGTCTGCAGGTGCAGTAAAGTGCACGACGTTGGGAAAGATCTTGAGGAAGTCGTCTGAAGGTGAGGAGTCCGGGAAATTGAACTATGACCACATCTGCTTCTTCATATATAAGTGCGCATATCATTCTTGTTATTCTTCAGGCAAAGATTTTACATGACAATAGGCCATGGTCCCTAATTATATTTTATTAATAATGCTTTTGTTATTTAAGATGAACAGCAAGAGGTCTAACACATTCAACTCTGAATGACTGTCTTGTGACTCGGTTGTCAACGTTCTCGCCTCACACTGAGTGTCCGTGGTTCGATCCCCGTCAATGGTGGAAACGTGGTGTGCGTTTCTTTACACCTGTTGACTTTGTTCGTCTAGCAGTAAGTAGGTACATGGATGTGAGTCGCATCCTGGAGGACAAGACTGAAGGTTCACAATGGAAATAAGAGAGACAGTCTTCGATCATGCACTGGATTATCTTGGGTTATCCTGGGTTGATAACTCTCCATGTTAAAAATCACGGGGGAAAATGCCACACGTTTCCTTAAAGAACTGGGTTCCAGACTCATCGACACCACCAGGGACCCAAGGGCAGCCATTTTCATGTTCCGCCGCCTCAGTGTGACCATCCAGAGAGGAAATGCTTGCTGCAAACTGGGCTCGCGTCTGGCTTCGGAGGAGCTGGAGGTGATTCATAATCTTTGATATAATGTACCAATGCATTCATGTTTATGTTTTCGATCAATATATTCTATCTATTAATAAAGTTCACATAGAATATAGTATATAGGGGGTGGTAGAAGAAAATATTCAAACAGCTCCGGGGAGAACCTTGAGTTTTCCCTGAGGTACGTTTATTGTCTTCTCTGAGGATGAAGGTCCCCAGTAAAGTTCTAGAGGTGGTACCTCCCTATATATATATATATATATATATATATATATATATATATATATATATATATATATATATATATATATATATATATATATATATATTATATATATTATATATATATATATAATATATATAATAGGCACAGTATATAAATACATATTTGGTATATTAGGTAAGATCAAAATCTTGAAGAGTTAGTGGTGTTATTATTTCGAGTGTCATCTGAACTGTGATGTTCGATTTCAATGGAAATAATTCACATTTTTTCTCTTTTTATGCACTCATAACACAGTGTCCTCAAAGACATTATAAAAAAAAATTGTAATCTTGTCAATGGTGGCCCGGTGGCCTGGTGGCTAAAGCTCCCGCTTCACACACGGAGGGCCCGGGTTCGATTCCCGGCGGGTGGAAACATTCGACACGTTTCCTTACACCTGTTGTCCTGTTCACCTAGCAGCAAATAGGTACCTGGGTGTTAGTCGACTGGTGTGGGTCGCATCCTGGGGGACAAGATTAAGGACCCCAATGGAAATAAGTTCGACAGTCCTCGATGACGCACTGACTTTCTTGGGTTATCCTGGGTGGCTAACCCTCCGGGGTTAAAAATCCAAACGAAATCTTATCTTATCTTCTTATCTTATCATCATCATCGTCCTCTTGTTTTTCACTTAACTAAAATAAATAAGTTAGCCCAAATGTATAAAGAAAATGGTTAGAATATATTTTTGAATTATAAAAAACGTAATATTTCAGGGGTAAACGAGTATAATAATTCCCAAAATACATTCCCATTATATTTACGAACCAGTGTATTTACGTACCAGTGTATTTACGTACCAGTGTATTTACGTACCAGTGTGTTTATGTACCAGTCTATTTACGTACCAGTTTCTCGTACCAGTACATCTCTGCGACTTTGAATACCCTTTATAAAATGATTAAAATATTTTTTTTACTACTGAATTCATTCTGTAACCAACCTATGTTATTGTTAATTAAGCGTCTTCTTAAATTTAATATAAGTACAATTGTCATACATAGTGTAAATTACCAAGTATAACCCAAAAGAGTCAGGCAAAGTGACTTATTTCCACTGTGGTCCTTATTGTGCTGTACTCCCGCACTGATGGACCACATCGTTTACAACTACAGTAGGTACTGAACCCATAGTGGAATATGTTTAATAAACTGCTGTAAGATTGTTAAATATTATGTGTATATGAGGGCAGCTTCATAATGCGATTATATCCAGTTTTGGTGAATAATTTTGTGTGGTTGTAACATAAATGTCAAAACAGACATGAATGTATTAGAATTTATTAGTAAAAGATGTAAAATTAGTATTAATGTTATTATAAATCTCTAAAGATTCTTTTTTTTTAAGCGCTGGGAATTTTAAAATAGTAAAGGAATTACATGTTTGAAAAAAAAATGTTTAGGAAAATTGGCTTTGGATTTAACTTTATAGACAGTACTTGACATTACATTACCTACTATTTAACTTACTAATACAATATGCAGTTGTTCAGCGTTTTACTGTGACTTATTTAACATATAAAATAAAGTGTACTAAAGTTACAGGGCAATAAATGTAAGTGAGTAAGAACGTTTGCAGGGATCGGGACACAGACAGCGTCAGCCGCCAGGTGGCAGCACTAACCAAAACGTTTGCCTACCAAGATCTCTACAAATTTTAATTGGTGTAATAATCCCGTAATATCTGCACAATCATGTCGTGAGTCCACCTTAAGTTTTATTTGGTACATTATCCATAGCACAGGAATTACAGATGTTGAGAGGGGCAAGGCTGCAAGTTAGGATAACAAGCAGGAAAGGAAGTTTATTGCTGGGTCTTTAGCCCCGGCATTTTTGGCGTCTCTGTTCTTTGTTTATGTTTGTAATGTCCGTAGAGGAGGTTGATGTTAATCCGCTTATGATAACTGTTGTAGGAACGTTATAGTGGCTGATGACGGCGCAGATGTTACAATTGTGATGCTGGTCTTCAGGGACGGTGGGAGAATGTTAACGTCATCATTGATTTGTTCAAACTTGTCAGGCGTTATCTGCAGTGTGAGGTGGAGCACCACACGGGATCTGCAGTGTGAGGTGGAGCACCACACGGGATCTGCAGTGTGAGGTGGAGCACCACACGGGATCTGCAGTGTGAGGTGGAGCACCACACGGGATCTGCAGTGTGAGGTGGAGCACCACACGGGATCTGCAGTGTGAGGTGGAGCACCACACGGGATCTGCAGTGTGAGGTGGAGCACCACGGGATCTGCAGTGTGAGGTGGAGCACCACACGGGATCTGCAGTGTGAGGTGGAGCACCACACGGGATCTGCAGTGTGAGGTGGAGCACCACACGGGATCTGCAGTGTGAGGTGGAGCACCACACGGGATCTGCAGTGTGAGGTGGAGCACCACACGGGATCTGCAGTGTGAGGTGGAGCACCACGGGATCTGCAGTGTGAGGTGGAGCACCACGGGATCTGCAGTGTGAGGTGGAGCACCACACGGGATCTGCAGTGTGAGGTGGAGCACCACGGGATCTGCAGTGTGAGGTGGAGCACCACACGGGATCTGCAGTGTGAGGTGGAGCACCACACGGGATCTGCAGTGTGAGGTGGAGCACCACGGGATCTGCAGTGTGAGGTGGAGCACCACACGGGATCTGCAGTGTGAGGTGGAGCACCACACGGGATCTGCAGTGTGAGGTGGAGCACCACGGGATCTGCAGTGTGAGGTGGAGCACCACGGGATCTGCAGTGTGAGGTGGAGCACCACGGGATCTGCAGTGTGAGGTGGAGCACCACACGGGATCTGCAATTTGAAGTGGAGTGCCAGAAATACTAGTCTGGACTTAAAAATTGAAAATTTAAATAGTTCATACTCCGTCTGCTGAGCATGAGACAGATACACTGCCTGTTTGTACTTGCCAAGATCAGTCTGGATTTGTGTGATATGTAAGGGAGGAGGAGCACTGCAGCAGACCTGTCAGTGCCAGGCAGCTCCAACTCACACCCACTCATGTACCTGTTCAAGCTATTTTTAAAGCAACCCAGAGTTCTCGTTTTAATAACGCTGTGGCGATCGTCTTGGGTTAATTATCCAAACAGTCATTTTTAAATCACAATGTGGCGTTTTGTGTCTAGGCTATGTGGTGTGTCCCTCAGGTGGCCCAGCAGATGTAGTGATGACTTCTGGGGTGGGAATGTGGTACCTGGTGCAGTATCTGAGCCATGTGTTTCCCCCCATTGTTCCCCAGGTGCCAGGGTACCCAACAGTGCAAGCAAACATAAATTCACCATCTGTGTGGAAGGCAACATTGGAAGTGGGAAGTCCACTCTCCTGAATTACCTTGCGAAATTCCGTGAGGTTGAGATGGTGGCTGAGCAGTTGGACAAGTGGCGTAGCATAAGAGGCAACAATCTGTTGGAGATGATGTACCGAGACCCTTGCCGCTGGTCCTACCTCTTCCAGAGCTATGTGCAGTTGACCATGGCACAGAGTCATGCTGTGTCCACCACTTCCCCTGTCAAGCTCATGGAACGATCCATCCATAGCGCCTGCTTTTGTTTCGTGGAGAACATGTACCTCAATGGAAAGATGAGTGAAGCAGAGTACAGTGTTTACTGGAAGTGGTACAAGGCCCTGACTGACTCTTTTGACTGTAGAGTTGATTTAATAGTTTATCTCAGAACTGATCCTAAATTGGTTCATGCAAGGGCAAAGAATCGTGCTAGGGTGGAAGAACAGGAAATACCGTTGGAGTATTTTATTGATCTCCACAAACTATATGAGGAGTGGATGAGTGAAGAAAAATTTCCTCTTGCTGCTCCAGTCATAATTCTTGATGCCAATGATGATCTGTCAACAATGTATAGAAAATATAACCTGATTACTCAAGAGATAATGGACAATAAATCTTTTCTCACTTCCCTTGTACAGCCCAAAATCTCTTATTAGTAACTAATGTATTTCTCGAAGTTCTTGTATATTGAAAGCCTGGCAGAATCCAAAGACATGAATATGATTATGACAGTTGGTTTTTGTTCTTACCTTAACCCTTTTGCTGTCTTGTACATAGATTATGTTGATACCAGGGTTGCTTGCATAGATCTGCATTTTGAGCTCAGTTTTCCACAGATAAACTGCAAGCAGTAAATTTTGGCCTGGACACAAGTAAATAAGTTGGTGCAGTGAGTGTGCACAAAAAGTCCTGCCCTATGTGGTACATAGGGGAAAAGCAAACCTCTGACCTTGTGTTTGTTTATCGAGCTTAAACTAGTAGAAATATTAAAATTTTGACAATTTTCCTTAGGATGGGTAAGAACCCACCCTCTTCTATTTTTTGGGTTTTTACTAGGTCTGATTCAATTACTGGGATGCCATAAACAATGACTAGTCATTCCTGGTTATACTCCTCATCTGAGAAACAGGGTAAATCTTTGATTTATTGCATGTTGAATTCAAAATAGAGGGAAGGTATAAAATAGGAGAAGCCTGAGGATGGAATTAATGAAGAGAGGAACTGTTTCAATGCATGGAATGTCTGCAGTGTTTATTTTGGACAGTCTTTAAATTGGATTTTTTTAATTATGTAAAGTTGTTCAAATTACCAGATTATGTGTACTTCATTGGGTAGTTCTGATAGTTGAATGAGTAGTTTCTTGCCTTCCATCAATAAAACAGAAGGCATACTAGCAAAATAAGAATGTCGAATTGAGCATTGTAATTAATTGGCTTAAATGGGTGATAATACTGATGTATAAATTCCATAAATTCTTTATGCATAATTTTGCAAGTTTTTCATCAAATTGCATATTTTTGGTGTCATTACCTTCAAAACATTTTCTACCAGTTTAATATATTTTTTAAATGCTGACATTGTCAGCAGTTTTAATTTTGAGGCTTCTGACAGTGAAAGAGTTAATTAAATTTATTTTAACCTTAATTAAAGTTGTACATCCTGATTCTTCAGTGTTGTTTCATGCTCTTTGATGAAATCCTAATTTCTGTAATTATTAATGATCTTGATTATGACCTGGTATTCAGCATTCACTGCTGGTTCCACCCCCTATTTTCTCCCCATTATGTGCATATAACTACAGTAGGGCCCCACTTATACAGCAGGTTAGATTCCAGGCTACCACCAGAAAGCAGAATGCCATTTTTTCCACTTACAAATGCATATAAATGCCAGATAACAAGTTTACACTAACATATATAAAGTTAGCAATAGAACTAGGCATTAAAAAGTCAGGTGTGGTAGGTATGGTAGCCCTCCTGGCCACCCCACCCACACATAATGTACTACAACTCTTAAAGTGCCTTAAAATATTTGTAGTCTTAATGGTCTTAATATAAGGTGAGAGGTGAAAAGTATTTATTTGTGGAAAGTAGTGTAGGAGGTATGGTAGCCTTCCTGGCCACCCCACCTACTATGACATTTAAAATGCCCTAGAACAATAAAATGCATGTACAGTACACTCATTACTTAAAATATTTGTAGTCATAATGTAGGGTGAGAGGTGAGTAAATGACATTAAATGAATAAACGAGAGAGAGAGAGAGAGAGAGAATGAGTACATGAGAGTAGTAGGTTTGCGAGTTTTGTAAACAAACCAACCGAACACGTATGGCTTTAGTTCACTCCTGTAGGCCGCTTGGAAAAACATCTCATTTATGTTAATTTATTCTACTGTGGGTATATTTGTCATGTTTGTGTTACATAGCGTGTTTATTATATAATTTTGAAAAAAGTCATTAGATTAATTAAGTAAAATGTCTATATTAATGTTTTATCTGACATTTAATGTGCCTCAGAGTGATTATTATTGTGTTGTTATCATGATCATTATTAATATGATGTATTCAAGACTAATAAGACACTCTTAGTGATTTTAATGTGTACAGATTTCCCTCCACATTCGCGAGGGTTAAGGGATCAAGAACCTCGCTAATGTTGAAAAATTGCGAATGTTTGGTGCACAAATATATTGTAGGGAAATATAATAATAGCATTTACTTAGCCTAACAGTACTGCTTCCTTAACCTATTGAAGTTTGAACAACCATAAAATACGTGAAAACATCGTAAAATATTGTACTAGTGCCAGCCCTTTGGTAAAGGTGAGAAAGACTATAGAATTCAAGATAGAACTCATAGCAGAGTACCAAAGTGGAGGAGGAAGAGAGAGGGGAGAATGTGCTTTCAGTGATTCAGTGGTGTAATGACATATTTTAAATATGATTGGGCAGCTGGGCATTCACAAATGTTTGAAGCCCATGAATGTGGAGGGAGACCTGTATCTGCCCGCTAGCACAGTGTGTAAGTTTACTTGGGTACAGGTACACATAAGTATAATTATCAGAGTATATATAAAACATGAAATAACTTTAAAACACTTGAAATTTTGGAAAGCTTCCAAACATAATGGATAGACGCAGTGTTCACGGAGAATGTAAACAAACCGGTGGCACGAGCCGTATTAGAAAGACAGGGAGCTGTATAGAAAGTTTCGGTCATAATTTGAAATCGCCGTATTAGCGGAACGCCGTAAAGCGGGGCCCTGCTGTATATATTTGAAAGCATATTGTGTATAATTTTGTACAAATATTAATTGCAATTTATAAAATAATTAATGTACAACATATATAAAATGATCATAATGAATAAAATTAATATTCACAACAGTTTTGCTGCTCAAATTTGCCATGGGTTTAGGCTTACAAAAGAATTTTTCCAAATTCACAATTTGGGTAAACTTGCTCCAAAAAGTTCACCATTCCTGTTTCAGATATTCTGGACATTGGCAGATTAAACTTTCTCATTTGAAGAAAAACGTATTTCTCTTTATCTGAAGCATGGGATTTTTCCATTTATTAATAATATACTACTGTATATTTTGTAATAATTTATATGAATACATAGTCATTAACTGAAGCAAAAATATATAAATTATTATGTACTAGTTTCTACACAAACTTCAGTGATCACTATTTTTTTTACCCGCTTCATCTCTTAAATATTGTACAATGTATGAGAAAAACTACACAACCCTTGAAATTTTTGTTTTGTTATTACTGACATTCTTTAAATAGGTGGGATTGGTAAAGTGCATTGTAGCAACTTTACCCATCCTGCAATATTCTATCCATGTTGTAAAAATTTGTTTTCTTGAGCCTAGTTATAGTACATTAAAGTAAAAATCTGAACATTGTAACTTTAATATTTACTATAGTGTGTATAATATTTTCAAACTGTAATAAAAGTTTGTAATTAATCCAATTTTGTTCACCTTGATGTGTTAACCCTTTGATTGTTTCGGTCGTATAATATATACGTATTACGAGCCACCGTGTTTGACATATGTATACTCATAAACTCGAGCGGCTTCAAATCAAGCAGGAGAAAGCTGGTAGGCCCACATGTGAGAGAATGGGTCTGTGTGGTCAGTGTGCACCATATAAAAAAAATTCTGCAGCATGCAGTGCATAATGAGAAAAAACTCCGATCTTTTTTTTTTATATTATTATTATTATTAAAATGCCGAATTTGTGGTCTATTTTCGTATAGGATTTACGGTTGTATTCTTGTTTTCTTGGTCTCATTTGATAGAATGGAAAACATAGAAATAGAGGTGATTTTTGATTGGTTTTACAGTGAAAAGAACCTTGAAATAGAGCTCAAAGTAGAGGAAATGTTTGATTTTTGCCGATGTTCAAAAGTAAACAAATGATGTCATTGTCCAATAAATGTCCAACTAGCCATTCTAATATGCAGTCATGAATGGGCTGACATTATTTATACAATTATTACAATATTGCAGTAGTCTGCATAACATTAAATCTATTTTTTGTTTGAATAAAAATTCAAAATAGAAAGCAAGAGTAATATCAGAGGGACCTGGAGACATGACTGATGAGCAAAGAAAATGTTATTTTAGAGCCAGGAATGTCTGCATTGTTCATTCTGAACCTTATCTTGAAAATTTCTCTCTCTCCTCTTTCTCTTTTTTTTCTTTTTCTTTCTCTTTCTCTTTCTCTTTTTCTTTTTCTTTTTCTTTTTCTTTCTCTTTCTCTTTTTCTTTCTCTTTCTCTATTTCTCTTTTTCTTTCTTTTTTTCTCTTTTTCTTTCTTTCTCTTTTTCTTTCTTTCTCTTTTTCTTTCTTTCTCTCTTTTTTTTTTTTACACAGGGTTTGACAGGTTAAGGATCCCTAGCTTTATTGACAGCTATTTACAGGTTAAGGATTCCTAACTTTATTGGCAAGCTAAGAGCTGTTACCTACATCAGCTCATTTGAAAGCATTTTTATTGTTATGAGACATACAAGTAGGAAACAGGATGAAGTTGGAGCCATCTGTGGGCCAGCATTTTCATTTGATCAACTGACTTTATCTCGTTGACATCATTATGCTGTACGAATGTGTTCCATACTCGAGTCATCCTGGGTATGTATGATCTCAGATGGAGTGATGTTCTATAGAAGGGTACAGCCAGAGTGAAGTTGCTGCTTTCTGCCCGTCTTGTGGCATAAAAGCTTGTTTCACGCTGTCCTCGAAGTGGATCCAAGTGTGGTATTTTGACAATATTGGCCTTGTACATAACAGTAAGGCCACCCACATCCCTCCTATGTTGAAGGCTCTGCTGAAATGACAGATCTATCCAGGATGGGTCCAGGCGAGAGATGAGACGTCTTGCTCTGTTCTCTACTCTGTCAAGCAGTCGCAGATGAGAGGGGGGGCAGGCAAACCAAGAAAGTGGAGCATACTCAAGGTGCGAGCGTACTTGTGCCTCGTACAGGATCTTGCAACCCCTACTGTCAAGCAGATGGGAGATACGGCGAAGTGCTGTAAGCTTCCTGGCTGCCTTGTTTGCAAGATTTACAACATGGTTCTTCATGGTTAGTTTGGAGTCAAATTTCACTTTTTCTCTTTCTTTCTTTCTCTTTTTCTTTCTCTTTTTCTCTTTCTTTTTCTTTTTCTTTTTCTTTCTTTTTCTCTTTTTCTTTCTCTTTTTTCTCTTCTTTCTCTTTTCTTTCTTCTTTCTTTCTCTTTTCTTTCTTTCTCTTTTTCTTTTCTCTTTCTTTTTTCCTTTTCTTTTCTTTCTCTTTTTCTTTCTTTCTCTTTTTCTTTCTCTTTTTCTTTCTTTCTCTTTTCTTTCTTCTCTCTTTTTCTTTCTTTCTCTTTTTCTTTCTCTTTTTTCTTTCTTTCTCTTTTTCTTTCTTTCTCTTTTTTCTTTCTTTCTTTCTCTTTTTCTTTCTCTTTTTCTTTCTTTCTTTTTCTTTCTTTTTTCTTCTTTCTCTTTCTTTCTCTTTCTTCTTTCTTTCTCTTTTTCTTTCTTTTCTTTCTTTCTCTTTTTCTTTCTTTTTTCTTTCTTTCTCTTTTTCTTTCTCTCTTTTTCTTTCTTTCTCTTCTTTTTCTTTCTTCTCTTTTTTCTTTCTTTTTTCTCTTTTTTCTTCTCTCTTTTTCTTTCTTTTTTTCTTTTTTTCTTTCTCTTTTTCTTTCTCTTTTTCTTTCTCTTTTTCTCTTTTTCTTTCTCTTTCTTTATCTTTTTCTTTCTCTTTTTCTTTCTCTTTTTCTTTCTCTTTTCTTCTTTTCTTTCTCTTTTTCTTTCTCTTTTTCTTTCTCTTTTCTTTCTTTCTCTTTTTTTTCTCTTTTTCTTTCTCTTTTTTTCTTTCTCTTTTCTTTCTCTTTTTCTTTCTCTTTTCTTTCTCTTTTCTTTCTCTTTTTCTTTCTCTTTTTCTTTCTCTTTTTCTTTCTCTTTTTTCTTTCTTTCTTTCTTTCTTTTCTTTCTCTTTCTTTTTTCTTTCTCTTTCTCTTTCTTTTTCTTTTTCTCTTTCTTTTCTCTTTTTCTTTTTCTCTTTCTTTTTTTTCGTTTTCCTCCTTCTCTTTTTCTTTCTCTTTTTCTCTTTCTCTTTTTTCTTTCTCTTTTTCTTTCTCTTTTTCTTTCTCTTTTTCTTTCTCTTTTTCTTTCTCTTTTTCTTTCTCTTTTTCTTTCTCTTTTTCTTTCTCTTTTTCTTTCTCTTTTCTTTCTCTTTTTCTTTCTCTTTTTCTTTTTTTCTTTCTCTTTTTCTTTTTTTCTTTCTCTTCTTTCTCTTTTTCTTTCTCTTTTAGTTTCTCTTTCTCTTTTTCTTCTTTCTCTTCTTTTTTCTTTCTCTTTTTCTCTCGTTTTCTCTCTTTCTCTTTTTTTTTCTTTTTTTTTACACAGGGTTTGACAAGGTTAAGGATCCCTAGCTTTATTGACAGCTATATTACAGGTTAAGGATTCCTAACTTTATTGGCAAGCTAAGAGCTGTTACCTACATCAGCTCATTTGAAAGCATTTTTATTGTTATGAGACATACAAGTAGGGAACAGGATGAAGTTGGAGCCATCTGTGGGCCAGCATTTTCATTTGATCAACTGACTTACCTCGTTGACATTATGCTGTACGAATGTGTTCCATACTCGAGTCATCCTGGGTATGTATGATCTCAGATGGAGTGATGTTCTGGAGAAGGGTACAGCCAGAGTGAAGTTGCTGCTTTCCTGCCCGTCTTGTGGCATAAAAGCTTGTTTTCACGCTGTCCTCGAAGTGGATCCAAGTGTGGTATTTTTGAAAAATATTGGCCTTGTACATAACAGTAAGGCCACCCACATCCCTCCTATGTTGAAGGCTCTGCTGAAATGACAGATCTATCCAGGATGGGTCCAGGCGAGAGATGAGACGTCTTGCTCTGTTCTCTACTCTGTCAAGCAGTCGCAGATGGGGGGGGGGGCAGGCAAACCAAGAAAGTGGAGCATACTCAAGGTGCGAGTGTACTTGTGCCTCGTACAGAATCTTGCAACCCCTACTGTCAAGTAATGCGAGATACGGCGAAGTGCTGTACGTTTCCTGGCTGCCTTGTTTGCAAGATTTGCAACATGGTGCTTCATGGTTAGTTTGGAGTCAAATTTCACCCCAAGGATATTAACTTCTTCTCCAGGTGCCAACACCCTCCCATTCATCCTTACTACTGCACCAGCATTACCATCATGGTGCCTAGAGACGATCATCATTTGCGTTTTCTCAGGTGCAAATGTTACTTGCCATCTATTTCCCCAAGCTGATATAGCTCTCAGCTGGTGATTGATGTAGCTTAGAGCAGCTGGCATTTCTTCTCTTTGGGTAAGTGAATGTCAGTGTACAGTCGTCTTTCATATGCATGTGATCTGGGATGAGATTAAAAGGTCGTTGAAGTAGACATTCCTAACAATGGTCCAGCACGCTTCCTTGTGGAACACTTGCCCAATAGGATGTCTTGCTGATTCCGTTCCATTGAGAACTAACTTAGAGATCTACCATGAAAGTAATCACTGAGGAGACATAGCGTAGAGCCCGCAATTCCCAGTGCTTGAAGGTTTGCTAAGAGGCCCTGGTGCCACACCCGGGCGAAAGCGCCAGCAATGTCCAGTGCTACCACACAGCTGAACTTTGGAAATTTATCCAGTGACGGGTGCCACTTAGTGGAGAGGTTTAACAACAGATCACCCGCAGAGTAACCTTTCCTGAAGCCATATTGACGATCACAAAGTATGAGTGATAGTCAAAAAAATCTGTCTTTGTCTTGGATTATTGCCCTCAAGGATCTTCCCAGTGATTGACAGGAGTGACACTGGTCTGTAGTGGCTGATTTCTGCTCTGCTCTTCTTTTTGTGAACAGGGACTACATTTGCCTCTTTCCATAGAGAGGGCCATTTACACTATACTAGGCAGTGCTGAAAGATGCGAGTTAGAGGTGCTGCTAGCTGGTCTGCACATCTTCTCGGCAATCTTGGGCTCAACTTGTCTGGGCCCACAGCCTTTTCTTGGTCAAGCAATTTAAGAAGGAAATGCACCTCCTCCTGCCTTATTGTCACCACTGACAGTTTTGACACAGTTCTTGCAGCTAGCCAAGGAGGGTCCCTTGCTGGATCAGGAACTTGCATTTTGGTAGCAAAGTGTTCAGCAAAGAGGTCTGCCTTCTCTTGACTACTAGTAGAGGTGGTCCCATCCTGTCGATTTAGAGGTGGAATGAGCTCATCAGGCAGATAACCTTGTCTGTCCTTGACCAGGGACCACCAGGTTTTGGAGCCTACCCTACCTGATGCTAGCTTTCTTTTAGTGTCCACCTCCCATTTAGCAATGGCCCACTTTTGAACGTCACCCATTGCCTATAGGCTTGCATTGCAGTTCCTGTTATAGGTGGAGATGTCTCTATCCTCTCTCTCTTTTTCTTTTTTTCTTTTCTTTCTCTTTCCTCTTTTTCTTTCTTCTCTTTTCTTTTCTTTCTCTCTTTCTCCTCTTTCTCTCTTTTTTCTCTCTTTTTCTCTTCTCTTTTCTCTCTTTTTTCTCTTTTCTCTTTTTTTCTCTTTTTCTTTTTTCTCTTTTTTTCCTCTTTTTCTCTTTTTCTCTTTTTCTCTTTTTCTTTTTCCTCTTTTTTCTCTCTTTCCTCTTTTTCTCTTTTTTCTCTTTTCTCTCTCTTCTTTTTCTCTTTTTCTTTTTCTCTTTTTCCTCTTTTTCTCTCTCTCTTTTTCTCTTTTTCTCTCTTTTTCTCTTCTCTCTTTTTCTCTCTTCTCTCTTTTTTCTCTTCTCTCTTTTTCTCTTCTCTCTCTTTTCTCTCTCTTTTCTTTTTCTCTCTTTTTCTCTCCTCTTTTTCTCTCTTCTTTTTCTTTTCTCTCTTTTTCCTCTTTTCTCTTTCTTTTTCTCTCTTTTTCTCTCTTTTTCTCTTCTCTCTCTTTCTCTCTTTTTCTCTTTCTCTTTTTTTCTCTTTTTTCTCTCTTTTTTCTCTCTCACACACACACACACACACACACACACACACACACACACACACGTATGCTTTCCTGATATCATGCCTGTGGTCCTTCTGAGTTCAGTGCATAGTTATGATAATAGTATTAATAATACCTGTAATCTGAGAGGTTTATGAAGGCTTGTTTTCCATATACCAGAAATTGACATTTAAAATATGTAGTATGTTAGACTACGTGATTACAAAAGGAAAGTCAAACCACAAGTTAACTAATATGTGGAATGAATTGGAGTATGCATTAGGGGGGCCATTTATTTTTATTTATTTATTTATTTATTTAATAATTTGAACATACAGAGGTACAAAAAAATACAGGTAAGAGCAGCATGCCAAAGCCACTTGTATGCATAGCATTATGGGCAGGCTTAAAATTAACTTAAGATTAACTAAGCAATGATGTAATCAGTGATAAAACATTATTGTAAACAGATAACAATAAAGCACAAATGAGTATTACAAAGACAGGTCATATGGTTGCATACATTGCTGTACATTCAGTCGAATGGAGTATTCTGTTAGGTAGTGTATTTAAAAAATAACAAAGTTAGATTGGGTCTTAGGTTTAACATTTATGTGATATAATTGTGAGAAACATTTAAGATAAACAATTTATAAGGTTCAGTTATTCAGTATTTATTTGGTTTTGGGTGAGTAAGTGATCTTTGAGAAGAGACTTGAATTTATAAACAGGTAGTGTTTCTTTTATATTTAAAGGTAATGAATTCCAGATTTTAGGGCCTTTTATGTGCATTGAGTTTTTGCATAGCGTGAGATGGACACGAGGAACATCAAAGAGTGATCTGTGCCTTGTGTTATGGTCATGTGTTCTGTTGAGGTTGGCAAGGAGATGTTTGAGGGGAGGGTTAATATCAGAGTTAAGTGTTCTATGTGTAATAGGTGCAGTAATAAGTATGGATGTTTTGTATGGTGAGTAGGTTTAGTGTTTTGAATATTGGTGGAGTGTGCTGCCTGTAGTGGGAATTTGCTATCATTCTGACTGCAGCCTTTTGTTGGGTAATTAGTGGTCTGAGATGGTTAATTGTTGTTGAGCCCCATGCACAAATTCCATAGGTGAGATGGGGTAAATAAGAGAGTGATATAGGGCCAGGAGGGCTCGCAGCCATGAAGCTGTCATGTACAGAAAACTGCATTTGCCTACTTGTCCCTCCCTCCCCAATACACACAGGTATATTGAGGGTACTTATATTCTGATATACCAAGAACATTTTGATAGCGACATCTTGCAGCAACTCGATTCAAGTTGGGTATTTTTAGATTCTAACCTTATAGGAAAGCATTGGCCTGGCATTAGTTGTGAGTGAGTCTAGTAAATTCCTAAGCAGTATCATTGATGAGAATATATCACAGTAGTTTGGGAAGCTTTAACCCCTTTCACTGTCCAGACCCCTGAAATAAACATTGCTCTCAGTGCCTAGATAAAAATAATACTGAAATGATACAGGATATTTCTCTGAAAAAGTACAAGATTTGATGGAAAACTTACGGAATTACACAGGCACAACGTTTGAGTTCTCAGCACAAATCATGCATTGGCAATTTTGCTGACTTTGGGTCTTTTATGCTAATTCTGTTGCTCTAATTGACAAAATTCTTAGCTAATTTGGTAGTGTGCTTTCCATCCTATTGATTAGGCACAAGCAATCTCCCATTCAACTACCTTATAAAGTACTGTACATAGACAGAAGATGGTAATTTGGCCAGTTTTTACAGAATTGGAAAAAATGCCAATTAAAAAAAGCCAAAAATACACATTGTAGACATTCCTAGCACTAAAACATTTTCTCTGTTGATTATTTGCATCCCCAGGCCTTTCCTATATTACACTGTCCATTTTGAATTTATAATCGCAAAAATAGAAATTTTACTCTACTTCTCAAATATAATCCGGGATGATTAGTCATGGTTTATGGTGTCCCAGTAATTGAATCAGACTTATTAAAACTCATTAAACAGACTGGGTATGTATGGGGACCTTACCCTTCCTCAGGAATATCAGCAAAAAATCTAATATTTACACTACTTTGAGCTCAGTTTCAAGCTACTTTAGCTTCTAAAACCAATCAATATCATCTTTATTTCAGTAGTATGTCTTCCATTCTATCAAATGATACCAAGAAACAGCCAATAAAACCATGAAAACCATATGAGAAAATACCTCAATTGCTATTTTATGTCATACACAGTCGGTTTTGTTTTTCCCATCATGCACCATGCTTGGGCAGGATTTTTTTTTTTTTTCCTTTATACTGTGCATACTTGACTTGCTACACACAACCATTCTCTCATAACTAGGCCAAAATTTACCCCTCAAAGCTTATCTAAGTGAGCTGAACTCATGACATAGAACTACCTGCTGCTATATATGTAACTACATTTATGTGTACCTGTACCTCAATAAACTTACTTGCATGAGGGACTTTGGCCTCAAAGATGTAGTTCTACATGATGGCCACTAAAAGGAGTTAAAGCTTGTCATTCTAAATCAGGCATTTTTTTTTTTTTATCTCATAAACAAAGATTACTGGCCATTAATTTGCCTATCTCCATCGGAATATTAATACGTATTGAGTTATTTTCAGTACCACTCAGAAGAGACGCAGCGATCTCAACCCAGAAGAATTATCAGCACTTGAGAAAGAAGAGTTTGCCACTGGACCACTGCGCATCCTCAATGAATCTGTACAAAATAACACACAGGTTAGTAGCTGAACAGGAAACAGTTTTCACGCCATCATATACAGTTCATTTATGAACATGAATCGTTAAATATTTTTGTTTTTTTCTGTTAAAAAAATCCATAAATTTGTTCGAATATACCATATATATGTAATGTAATGCATGCATGCATGGTCAACAATTCGCAAACAGGCGAAATTATTTACAAACATTGTCTCTACGCCCACAGCAAGACTCGAACCTGCAAACTCTGTATCAGAGTAAGCCTGACCCCAGATAAGTATGAGCATCTTGCAGAAGCTAGATGTTTCCTTATACCCCGGGGCACCGGGCTTGTTTTCAAAGTTATTTCATCAAATCCTACCACATGCAGTAGACAATGAAAGAGATTTGAAATGCTTAACAATTTGCAAACAGGCAAAATTATTTACATTGTGTCTGAAATAACTTTGAAAACAAGCCTGGTGCCTTGGGGCATGGGGAAACATCGTCTAACTTCAGCTAGGCACCCATACTTATCTGGGGTCTGGCTCCGTGGTAAAGTACTGTGGATGTGAAATGTCACCATGGTTGCTTAACATATTCATAGGTGGTGGTGTAAAAGAAGTAAATGCTAGGGCATTAGGGAGAGGAATGTGATTAAATTATGAGGAATCAAATGCAAAATGGGAATTGACACAGTTACTTTTTGCTGATGATACTGTGATTTTGGGGGATTCTAAAGAAAAGTTGCAAAGGTTTGTGGATGAGTTTGGAAGGGTGTGTAAAGGTAGAAAGTTGAAAGTGAATATAGATGAGAGTAAGGTGATGAGGGTATCAAACGATTTAGATAAAGAAAAAGTGGATATCACATTGGAGGGAGGGAGTATGGAAGAAGTGAATGTTTTCAGGTATTTGTGAGTGGGTTTGTTTGCAGATGGGTCTACGAAAGATGAGGTGCATCATAGAATTGATGAGGAGGAAAAAAGGCGAATGGTGCACTGAGGAGTCTGTGGAGACAGAACTTTGTCCATGGAAGCAAAGAAGGGACTGTATGTGATTATAGTTATACCAATGCTCTTATATGGGTGTGAAGCATGGGTGATGAATGTTGCAACAAGGAGAAGGCTGGAGGCAGTGGAGATGTCATGTTTGAGGGCAGTGTGTGGTGTGGATATAATGCAGAGAATTCACAGTTTGGAAATTAGGAAGAGGTGCGGGATTACCAAGACTATTATCCAGAGGGCTGAGGAGGGGTTGTTGAGGTGGTTCGAACATGTAGAGAAGATGGTACAAATTAGAATGACTTCAAGAGTGTATAAATCTCTGGTGGAGGGAAGGCAGGGTAGAGGGTGGCCTATTAACCCTTTGAGGGTTTCGGCCGTACTAGTATGGCTTACGACCCAGGGTTTTTGACGTACTAGTATGCCTAAATTCTAGCGCCCTCAAATCTGGTGGGAGAAAGCTGGTAGGCCTACATATGAAAGAATGGGTCTATGTGGTCAGTGTGCACAGTATAAAAAAAATCCTGCAGCGCACAGTGCATAATGAGAAAAAAAAAACTGACCGTTTTTTTTTTTGGAATAAAACAGCAACTTTGCACTGTATTTTCGTATGGTATTGTTGTATTCTAGTTTTCTTGGTCTCATTTTATAGAATGGAAGACATATTACAGAAATTGAGATGATTTTGACTGGTTTTACAATGAAAAGTACCTTGAAATTGAGCTCAAAGTAGCAGAAATGTTCAATTTTTACCGAAGTTCAAAAGTAAACAAATCATGCCAAGCGTCCAATACACGTCAACTGGTGAGTCTAATATTCTTTTGCAAGTGCGCCAATATTATTTATACCATTTTTTACACTAATGCAGTAGTCTGCATAACAATAAATCTTCTATTTTTTGTGAGAATAAAAATTCAAAGTGGAAAGCAAAAGAATGTAAGAGGGGCCTTGAGACGTGACTAATGAACAAAGGAAATGTCATTTTAGTGCCAGGAATGTTTTTCTTGTCTATTCTGGACCCTATTCGGAAATTGGCATCTTTTGAAATTTGTGTGAAATTGGCAAAATTGCTAAATTTTGACCACTGTACTGGATAGTTGAAATTGGTAAATGGGTGGTTTCTTGCACTCATTTGATAGAAAAAATGGAGTTCTAGCGAAATATTCATGTTTTTTGTTGACTAGTGCAGTGGAATTGGCTGAAAATGGGGCTCAAAGTGGGCAAAATCGCCGATGCGTAAACATCGCCGATACCGCTAACTTCGCAAGAGCATAATTCCGTAAGTTTTCCATCAAATTTCATAATTTTGGTGTCATTATGACCGGGAAAAGATTCTCTATCTTTTCATAAGATTTTTTTTTTTTTTTTTTTTTTTTTTTTTTTTTTTTTTTTTTTTTTTTTTAAATTTGGCCGACCCTGAGAACGAGTCTCGGAGAGGGCCTGTCGACCCTCAGAGGGTTAAAGGTTAGAGGGAGGAGGTAAAGGAAGTTTTATGTGCAAGGGTCTTGGACTTCCAACAAGCATGCGTGAGCGTGTTTGATAGGAGCGAATGGAGACAAATGGTTTTTAGGACTTGACGTGCTGTTGGAGTGTGAGCAAGGTAATATTTATGAAGGGATTCAGGGAAACTGGCAGGTCGGACTTGAGTCCAGGAGATGTGAAGTACAGTGCCGGCACTCTGAAGAAGGGGTGTTAATTAAGCGTGAGCGTATTAGATAGGAGTGGAGTCGAGTGGTTTTTGGGACCTGACGAGCTGATGGAGTGTGAGCAGGGTAATATTCAGTGAAGGGATTCAGGGAAACTAGTTATTTTTATATAGCTGGACTTGAGTACTGGAAGTGGGAAGTACAATGCCTGCACTTTAACCCTTTGACTGTTTCGGTCGTATATGTATGATATGGGTCGGCCTAGGAAAGGTTGGAGGGAGGGGGTAAAGGAGGCTTTGTGTGCGAGGGGCTTGGACTTCCAGCAGGCATCCGTGAGCGTATTTGATAGGAATGAATGGAGACAAATGGTTTTTAATACTTGACGTGCTGTTGGAGTGTGAGCAAAGTAACATTTATGAAGGGATTCAGGGAAACCGGCAGGCCGGACTTGAGTCCTGGAGATGGGAAGTACAGTGCCTGCACTCTGAAGGAGAGGTGTTAATGTTGCAGTTTAAAAACCCTTCTGGCAAGACAGTGATGGAGTGAATGATGGTGAAAGTTTTTCTTTTTCGGGCCGCCCTGCCTTGGTGGGAATCGGCCAGTGTGTTAATAAAAAAAAAAATGTACGCCATACGAGCCAATGTGTTTGACGTATATATACTCGAAAATTCTAGCGGCTTCAAATCAAACAGGAGAAAGCTGGTAGGCCCACATGTGAGAGAATGGGTCTGTGTGGTCAGTGTGTGCAGTATAAAAAAAATCCTACAGCAAGCAGTGCATAATGAGAAAAAACTTCAACCGTGTTTTTTGGATTAAAACGTCGACTTGAGGTGTATTTTTGTATAGTTTTTATGGTTATATTCTCGTTTTCATAGTCACATTTGATAGATTGGAAAACAGATTATGGAAATGGAGGTGATTTTGATTGGTTTTACTATGAAAAGGACCTTGAAATGGAGCTCAAAGTAGGGGAAATGTTTGATTTTTGCTGATGTTTAAAAGTAAACAAATGATGTCATTGTCCAATAAATGTCCAACTAGCAATTCTAATATGCAGTCGTGAATGGGTTGACATTATTTATACAATTATTACAATATTGCAGTAGTCTGCATAACATTAAGTCTTCTATTTTTTGTTTGAATAAAAATTAAAAATAGAAAGCAAGAGTAATATGTCAGAGGGGCCTGGAGATGTGACTGATAAACAAAGAAAATGTTACTTTAGAACCAGGAATGTCTGCATTGTTCATTCTAGACCCTATTTTGAAATTGTCGTGTTTTTTAACCCTTTCAGGGTCGACAGGCCCTCTCCCAGACTTGTTCTCAGGGTCGACAAATTTAAAAAAAAAAATTTCTTGTGAAAAGATAGAGAATCTTTTCCCATTCATAATGACACCAAAAGTATGAAATTTGATGGAAAACTTATGGAATTATGCTCTCGCGAAGTTAGCAGTCTCGTCAGTGTTTACGCATCGGCGATTTTGCCCACTTTGAGCCCTATTTTCGGCCAATTCCAGTGTACTAGTTGACAAAAATCATAACTTTCGCTAGAACTCCATTTTTTCTATCAAATGAGTGCAAGAAACCACCCATTTACCGATTTCAACTATCCAATAAAGTGGTCAGAATTTAGCAATTTTTTGCAATTTCACACAAATTTCAAAAGATGCCAATTTCCAATTAGGGTCTAGAATATACAAGAAAAACATTCCTGGCACTAAAATACCATTCCTCTGTTCATTAGTCACGTCCCCACGCCCCTCTTACATTCTTTTGCTTTCCACTTTGAATTTGTATTCTCACAAAAAAATAGAAGATTTACTGTTATGCAGACTACTGCACTAGTGTAGAAATGGTATAAATAATATCAGCGCACTTGTGAAAGAATATTAGACTCGCCAGTTGATGTATATTGGACGCGTAGCATGATTTGTTTACTTTTGAACTTTGGCAAAAATCGAAGATTTCTGCTACTTTGAGCTCAATTTCAAGGTACTTTTCATTGTAAAACCAATCATAATCATCTCAATTTCTGTAATATGTCTTCAGTTCTATAAAATGAGACCAGGAAAACTAGAATACACCTACCATCCGACTTACGACTGAGTTCGGTTCCGAGAAACAGGTCGTAAGTCGAAATGGTCGTAAGTCGAACTTTACTACTGAATATCAACAAAACATTTTTGTAATAACTATTTTATTGTTTTATTTTGGTATTTCATGTTTTACTTTACTTTTTATGTTGTTAGTACTGTATTTTATACTGTAAGGTTTAGGATAAACACTGTGTACAACACAAATAGTTGTTTATTTCCCAGAAATTTGGCATAAAAAACACGGTTGTAAGTCGAGTGGTCGTAAGTCGAGCAGGTCGTAAGTCGGATGGTAGGTG